GATGTAGAGATGGCGTTGAGATGGAGATGTAGAGATGGCGTTGAGATAGAGATGGCGTTGAGATAGAGATGTAGAGATGGCATTGAGATAGAGATGTAGAGATGGCGTTGAAATGGAGATGTAGAGATGCTTTGAGATAGAGATGTAGAGATGCTTTGAGATGGAGATGTAGAGATGGCGTTGAGATAGAGATGGAGATGGCGTTGAGATGGAGATGTAGAGATGGCATTGAGATGGAGATGTAGAGATGGCGTTGAGATGGAGATGTAGAGATGGCGTTGAGATGGAGATGTAGTGATGTGTTGAGATGGAGATGTAGAGATGGCGTTGAGATGGAGATGTAGAGATGCGTTGAGATGGAGATGTAGAGATGGCGTTGAGATGGAGATGTAGAGATGGCGTTGAGATAGAGATGGAGATGGCGTTGAGATAGAGATGTAGAGATGGCGTTGAGATAGAGATGTAGAGATGGCGTTGAGATGGAGATGTAGAGATGGCGTTGAGATGGAGATGTAGAGATGCTTTGAGATAGAGATGTAGAGATGCTTTGAGATGGAGATGTAGAGATGGCGTTGAGATAGAGATGGAGATGGCAATGAGATAGAGATGTAGAGATGGCGTTGAGATGGAGATGTAGAGATGGCGTTGAGATGGAGATGTAGAGATGCGTTGAGATGGAGATGTAGAGATGGCGTTGAGATGGAGATGTAGAGATGGCGTTGAGATGGAGATGTAGAGATGGCGTTGAGATGGAGATGTAGTGATGCGTTGAGATGGAGATGTAGAGATGGCGTTGAGATGGAGATGTAGAGATGGCGTTGAGATGGAGATGTAGAGATGCGTTGAGATGGAGATGTAGAGATGGCGTTGAGATGGAGATGTAGAGATGGCGTTGAGATGGAGATGTAGAGATGGCGTTGAGATGGAGATGTAGAGATGCGTTGAGATGGAGATGTAGAGATGGCGTTGAGATGGAGATGTAGAGATGGCGTTGAGATGGAGATGTAGAGATGGCGTTGAGATGGAGATGTAGTGATGCGTTGAGATAGAGATGTAGAGATGGCGTTGAGATGGAGATGTAGAGATGGCGTTGAGATGGAGATGTAGTGATGCGTTGAGATAGAGATGTAGAGATGGCGTTGAGATGGAGATGTAGAGATGGCGTTGAGATGGAGATGTAGAGATGGCGTTGAGATGGAGATGTAGAGATGGCGTTGAGATGGAGATGTAGAGATGGCGTTGAGATAGAGATGTAGAGATGGCGTTGAGATAGAGATGTAGAGATGGCGTTGAGATGGAGATGTAGAGATGGCGTTGAGATAGAGATGTAGAGATGGCGTTGAGATAGAGATGTAGAGATGCGTTGAGATGGAGATGTAGAGATGCGTAGAGATGGAGATGTAGAGATGGCGTTGAGATGGAGATGGCGTTGAGATGGAGATGTAGAGATGGCGTTGAGATAGAGATGGCGTTGAGATAGAGATGGCGTTGAGATAGAGATGTAGAGATGCGTTGAGATAGAGATGTAGAGATGGCGTTGAGATAGAGATGTAGAGATGCGTTGAGATGGAGATGTAGAGATGGCGTTGAGATAGAGATGTAGAGATGGCGTTGAGATAGAGATGTAGAGATGGCGTTGAGATAGAGATGTAGAGATGACGTAGAGATGGCGTTGAGATAGAGATGTAGAGATGGTGTTGAGATGGAGATGTAGAGATGCCTTGAGATAGAGATGTAGAGATGGCGTTGAGATGGAGATGTAGAGATGGCATTGAGATGGAGATGTAGAGATGGCGTTGAGATGGAGATGTAGATTGGGATGGAGATGTAGAGATGGAGATGTAGAGATGGCGTTGAGATGGAGATGTAGAGATGGCGTTGAAATGGAGATGTAGAGATGGCGTTGAGATAGAACAGCTGATAGGTTGTGACAGTCAGTGGTCCTGCTATCTTTCTCGCTCTATCACTCACCGTCTTTGCCTCAGATTAAACCCCGACCGGGTCTGAGAGTGACAAATGCGAGCGAGCGTCTCTAGAGGAGGCTGATAGCAGTCGGCCATATGCCACATTGTTCCTAAAGAGGAGCAGGAAATGGGACACGCCACGGATCCGCAATCACTCGGGGATCTGAGAGCGCTGTGTTGCCCCTGTGACGTCCTCTGCCGGTGACCTCATTAGCTGGCCCGTATCGGGATTAAGCTGGGGTCAAAGATAAAGCCGGCCCGCACTCTTCGATGGGCGTGAAGCTTGATTAGAAGGGAATGATGAGCGAAGGGAAATGAAGAAAGATGAACGACTCCCAGGACATCTGACGTGATTAGAGCTGATAAAGAAGACTGATGTCGTGTCGAGAGAATCATCAGGCGAGAGATGGGCAGACAGGGCCCTGATGTGCCCAGACCGTCCGTAATAGATGAACAGATCACTTCTAACTTACTTAATCTACATCTAAAGCAAGTGGCACAGCATCAAAAAACTAGATCTGTCCCATATTACTCAAGTAAAAGATTAAAGCTATAGTTGTACAACATGGAAATATTCATTCTATATATATTGTACATATTCCTCCGTTCAAAAGTTTGGTTCAATTAGACTTTTATTTAAAGAAGCTAGTACTTCATCCATTACATTAATCAAAGTGACAGTAAAGACATTGGCCTACTGTAACACATGTATATCTGTTCAAGTGTTCATCAAAGAATTATGAAAAATATATAATAATATATAAAAAAAATGCAGCCTTATCTATATTTAGCCTATAGTGGCCAAAATTGATGTATGGCCTAGGAAAATTGACATCACCATTTATCCAAAAATTATTCAACATTTGTTAAAGATTTTGCAAGCATATTGAGTAATTGTGCTTTGAGTCGATTGTTTTATTTGTGATGATAATGCAATGAAACGCCTAATTGTGCCAACATAATTTTTGTCCTGGCGATCACACAAAGAAATTATGAACGCATACAAAAACAAGAGAGAACCAATGAAATATTAAAAACAGATTATATTGTAGTTAATATATGCTTTTTCCTGTAGCTTTAGTTTGTCTTTTTTTTTTCCTCAAATTTTGTCAGATAAATATCTTAAACAAGTTTAGTGTTTTATTTGTCCTTCATGTTTAAAATATTTAAAAATATAACTTTTTCCTCAAATTTTTGATGTTTTAATATAAAGAAGGGTAGAAAGGGTCATTAAAAACAAATATCCCCTCCGGACAACACTTTCGGCCACTACTGTACACTATGTATTCTATGTATAACCCTCATCTAAAAAAATGCACAAATTTTTATTTTATATAGTATAGTGCATATATTAGACCCTATGCTTTTGAAAAAAATATTTTATTGTAATTTTTCCACATTTATTTTGTTTTAATTACATTTTTAATTAAAAGAGATTTATAAAATGTTAGTTTTTTTGCTCATAAATCTACCCCAGTTTTTGTTTATATTTTTTGTTTTTTTGTGCTTGTTTATATTGAATATGTTGCACTAAATAAACATGTATGCACATATTTCTGTGCAGACTGCCAACTGCAAGTAAAATTGGCTTAGCTTTGTGTTTACTTACCAGATGGTGTGTAACTTTATTAAGAAGTAAAACATAACACATGGTTTGAATGGAATAGAAAGAACGATAATCCGACCCCTGCTGATGTGAGATCCTGCCTCAAAGTTATTCTAAAGAAAACTTCTGACAGCACACTTTTTTTTTTTCTCTCTCTGTAAACGACTAAACACGTCCCTGTATTTATTTTTATTTTTTATTTTTTTACTTTAAATAATGCGAGTGGTTCTCTGAATTTGATGGGAATTTTCACACACCCCCATCACTCGGCTCTGGTATCAGATCATGAAACGATCAGGCTGCGAGGTTCATGTGTTCTCCGAGCTTATCACACAACGCTTCCTTCATTATTTGTGCTGGCTTTCATGTGCGTTCAAACTGACGTGACGTCTAAACACACACTGGCAGCGGCTTTCCTGCAGGGGACTGAAGACTTTCCAGTTATTTTCACTAGTAAGATCACACCATCTGTTATGTGTTAGAGCTCTTAGACCCATTGCAGTTGTTCCCACACTTGCTCTGGTTGTGCTGGTGTTTTTGTGCAGCATGGCACCTTGTAATATGCAGCATTGCTCATAGTTGCATCACATTATCGCACTGGCACACGATGCCCAGGGCTCCGCTTTACGCTGCGTCTCATTTGCACCCGAGTTTGTCGAAATCCTTCTCCTGCTGCAGTATTTCTAGGGAGGTCATGGGAAAGGCTGTGGCCTGTGGGTGTTGGTTTTTCATTTCTTTTTCACAGTTCTTAAGCTCCTAATTGAAATGCTCATTAAACGTGTAGCATCAGGGATCTCGCATCAGAGGTTTGAGAGTTGACACGCTGCGTACATTGCGAGATTGAAACGCATCCTGCAAGGCTGTTTTTATTGCCTCATTCGTTCCCATTGGAGGGATGGAATATTTCATTGTTTGTCAACGTCACCTACATATAATGTGCTTTTCATCTGCTCCGACAGAGCCACTGCCTCCCCGCACTTTCCTGAAGCAATAAAGACCTTGCTTTGTGCATGACAGTTTGTGTATTTTCTACATTAAAGGGGCTGAAGCCAGAGCAATCTCCTTTAAGGTCGAGTGAATTAAATGAAAGCCTCCGAATATTTTTAATTAAGGATGTGAAGAGAATTTAATAACTTCAAATTAAATGCAGCTGAAGCTCTGGTGTTGTGGGGAATTTGATGTTTTGCAGCTGCAGACTCGTGCGCGTTCACCTCAGATATTATTCTGCCGCCTTTAGTTTGCTTGCGCTACAATAAAAGATCAGTTTAATATTCTGCAGCGTCATCTGAACCTGAATAAATAGACATGTAGATCCCAGACAGCAACATGGTTTCGCCCACATCTGGAATACGCTTGGAATCCACTTTCTAAAGTCGTCATTTAAAGTTGTGCGACATCTCAATTATTTCATGTGTTGTGTTTGCAGGTGGTCTTCGGGGGGCTTCTATCGTGGATTCTCTGGACACGCTGTACATCATGGGTCTGATGGAGGAGTATGAAGAAGCAAAGGAATGGGTCCAAAACAGCCTGGACCTGAACTCGGTGAGCAAACAGTGTTGGGTGGGAATCACTATTCGTCTGTGGGTTAGCAGCTCTGGAAACACTGGCAGTCTTGGGCCGTCTAAAGCACTTGTGTAAAAGACTTCTATTGATCAGAAGCTGTGCTGGAATCAATTGTTTCTTTTAACCAACATCTAGTCCAGGGAACTGAGACAGTTTTTGTCCAAATCAAACATGCGTGAGTGGATGAAAGGCCTCCATAGTGGTTTCGTGTTGACTGGACTAGTTCTTTCAAAGTGCGCTAATTCCTCGATGTATTCCGAGGCTTGAAAGAAAGACGAGGAGTGTCATCCTCTGATAATAGACATCTGCAGCGGCCTGAGGGCACAGGGGTGAGAGAGATTACTCTCTGATGGACGGTTCTGAGGGGAAACTATTGGTTGCTAGGGCGTTGCTAGGATACACGATTGTTGTGGTTATTTGCTATGCCATTGCTTTGATGTTCTGAATGGTTGCTTGCAAAGGTGTTGCTGGGATACTAGAAAGTTGTGGGTAGTTGCATAGACAGTATCCACCTTATTCCTGACAAGCTTACTGCGTTTTGAATTATGGGCGGCACTTCCGGTTTGGGGAACTTCCATTCAAAAAGACTGAAACGAATCATTTCAAATCATAAGGTTGCCCTACAAATAAACCTGATCCGTCAGTTTGACTTAATGAGCAATCAGTTTTCTTTCATGTTTTATCTAAGAATAACATGAGAATAACGTAACACTTGGTATTTTAACGTGACATGTTATAACAAGAATATCCATAGTAAGAGCTCTGCATTCTTTTCCTCATGATTATTTTCTTTTTTCCTTTTGAATTCCGCTGTAATAGTATGACAAAAGTCAACACATACTGCACATTTGTGGTCTGTTCTCCCGATTTAATTTACGATGTATACCATTAATAATTCACTGGAATCCTCTCCAAATCCTCACGTCTCTTTCCAGGTTTGGTTTCACAGGTAAATACAATTTATTATCTGTCAAAATGACTGAAATCACTTTAAAATAGTATCACGTAATGCTGAAGTAAAACACTTTTTTATTAAGGCAACGTATGTTACATAATACAATTAACGTTACCACAGTGATATATTTAACCGACCGATTTAGCTGTGGAAAGATGCTTTTGAGATTATTCATGGTCTGTTTAAAGTTACCTTGTTGATGCTTTTACACTTTTAAATGTCCTTTTAATGTTCAATGGTTGAAGGGTGAGTAGAATAATGTAATGTCATCGTAAAAGGTTTAAAAATCTATTATTGCGTCCATAGAGCTTAGTCGTTCACTGATTGTTTACATCTTAACGGAAGTTACACCCATAATTCACGCAAAGCGTCATGGGGCGCAGGAATACTGTGGATAAGAAGTGGACAGAGCCATCTCATTGGAACTCAGTTGAGACAGTTGAAGCCCATTTTTAGCGATTTTTGAGCACTTCCGTTCCTGACGCGCAGACTCAAACCGACTCAAACTAAGCTTGATGACGTGAGCAACCTGTCTGACAGACGTTAATCTTCTAGTAGCTGTGCGTGAAAATTGCCAACGTTAATCTTGCAGAGACGGGGAACTTGAGCAAAGAGTTCTTTGGCGTGAGTGAGCAGGAGTAAGTATTCTGTTGCTTTTATGGACTCATTATCTATGGGCTTCTCCCTTGACGGGACGCCCCCCCGATCGCCTGCGAGCTTCTCCTCCTGTCTGTACGGTCATTTCTGTACAGCGCGACAGAGAGTCCAGTGGTTATGACGCAATCGTTAGCCTATTTTTACTAAATCTGTTTCTACGGGGCCATAATGTAACATAGAAGGTAATGGAGCACTTTATACATTGTCGTGTTTCTTTAGAAATAAATAATGGACAAATGGAGTCTTTAAACGCCTCAGATGTAAAGTTATTCGCTGTCAAAGTGACGCCAAAATGAATGGGAGTCAATGGAAATGCTAACGCAAGTGAAGTTCTGCTACAACATGGCGGCACCCGGCCGGCTTCAACTTCCGGTCGATGGATTACCCCCTTGGGTAGTTGCTATGCTGTTGTTTTGATTCTCTGAATGGTTGCTAGGGTGTTCCTAGGATACCAGGATGTGGTGGGTAGCTGCTAGTCTGTGCTTAGGTGTTCTGAATGGTTTCTAGGGCGTTGTTAACATATGAGGATATTGTGTTAGTTGCGATGAGATCACGGTTTACTCCAGAGCGGCTATATATATAGATATAAATAAACTAATAACTTAAAAATTAATAACTTAAAAAAAAAATGAAACATCACTGAACTTACTTAAGCTGGACTGTGACGCTATTTTCTTCTGGAAACAAACTTTTATGCATTATTTTCCTGTTATCTCTGTAAAGCTGCTTTGAAACAATCTGTATTGTAAAAAGCTCTATATAAATAAATGTGACTTGACTTGAATATGTTGTTGCTTTGTTTTCTTTGTGTTTGCTTTCTGGTGTTTTGATGTTCTGAATGGTTGCTAGGGTGTTCCTATGATACTAGGATGTGGTGGGTAGTTGCTAGGCTGTTTCTAAGTTGTTGCTTATTTGTTCTGAATGGTTGCTAGGGCGTTGTTAAAACACAAGGATATTGTGGGTAGTTGATTTGCTGTTGATTTGTTTTCTTTTTGTTTTGAATTGTTGCTAGAGTGTTCCTAGCATACTATGATGGGGGCTCGTCCGGGTAGTTGCTAGGCTGTTGTTAAGTGGTTCCTTAGTTGTTCTGAATGTTTTTTTTAGGGTGTTGTTAAAAAACTAGAATGTTGTGGATAGTTGTTTTGATTTTCTGAATGGTTGCTAGGGTGTTGCTAGAATACTAGGATGTGGTCGGTAGTTTCTAGGCTGTTGCTAAGTGGTTACTTTGGTTTCTGAATGGTTGCTAGGGTGTTGCTAGGATACTAGGAGTTGTGGGAAGTTGCCAGGTTGTGGTTACCATTGCTATGTGGTTTAGTGTTCTGGGTGGTTGCTTAATGTTGCTTACTTGCAAATGTCAAATAAGCCCACCCTTAAATTTGTTGAAATCAATTCATTAATATTTCTAAATGAAATGATTTTTTTTCCAGATGGGTGGGTAAAATAAAGCTGATGTAGCTGTGTGTCAAAAACATCGCATTGGGTGCTTGCAGTCTAGAAAAGAGTGTCATCTAGTTTAGGTGGTTCTGGACACTTGCACTTTTCTACTTTGACATCTAGAAGTTTGAATTTCATAACTCTTGATACTGAGATTTTTGACTGTGTAAGATGGCTTGTTAAAATCCGTCATTCTTCTTCTGTCATTGCTCAAGCAAAACGGTCTTATTGCATTCTGATGCACAGCGGCAAACTGCTCTGATTTATCCTGAAGGTTTTTTGGCAGTTCATTAAAGGCACCAGTGGTATTTTGAATGTTGTGCTGGTGAGAGGCCCAGTGGTGCATATGAATGATGCATTCTGATTGGTCTTTCCAAGTGTATGAATTACTCATAAACATGTCCATACACACAACACATACTGTAGAGTATTGCCAGAAATATTACGGTTATTCTACCACAGCCCATAAAATAAAATCCATAAAATATATTTCATCTTTTTAACTTTCATTTTATGGGCCATGGTGGAAAAAATTAATTTCTTGTCCATTTCCATAATTTACCCTAAAGTCTTCAGATAGGGGCTGAAGAAGCAGCTTATACAATCTAAATAAATGTATCAAATGCTATTCAGTAAATTCTTCTTTCTGTTAGTTTAATTAAAATCCACAATCATGAACTGAAAGGGTGACATTTCTCAATTTCTGAATTTTGCACAACACACACACACACACACACACACTCTCTCTCTCACACACACACACACACACACACACACACTCTCTCACACATACACTCTCTCACACACACTCTCTCACACACACACTCTCTCACACACACACACTCTTTCTCTCACACACACAGCTGTGGTTTATGTGATTTATGAGGACATTCCATAGGCGTAATGGCTTTTATACTGGAAAAACTGTATATTCTATCCCCCTACACTGCCCCATCCCTAAACCTACCCATCACAGGAGACATGCTGCATTTTTACATTTAAAAAAAAAACATTGTTTTTTATGTTTTTTAAGCTATTTGAAATATGAGGACTCATGCAATGTCCTCATATATCACGTGTAAGTTGTAATACCAGTGTAATATGCATGTCATTATACACATTTGTGTCCTCATATATCACAAAAACAAGAGCTCTTACTCTCTCACACACACTCACTCTCTCACACTCTCTCTCTCTCTCTCACACACACACACACACACACTCTCTCTTACTCGCTCACTCTCTCTCACACACACACACACACAGGCATGTAGAGTTGTGCAGTATTTAGATCACTGTGGCAGGACTGTGATGAAAGTCCTGTGGATCAGCAATAATGTCTCTCTCTCTCCATCACATCATGAGTCCAGTGGTGGTAGAGTAGGAGTGTCTGAGGTGTTTGGTGGCGAGGGAGGGCAGTGTCTGTCGTGAAGACACACAGTCTAGATTTACTGTGCACTTTGTCATAGAGAAAGCCAGCTTCATCCGTCACTCCCCGCACGCTTTCAATCAATCTCCTGCCGAGTCTTCTTTTATTACTCTTTAGCTGAGCATTTGCTCACTGATGGAGAGCAGAGCACTTCAGCACGAGACCGTCCTGCTCTGACTAGGAAGAGGTTTTCTAATCTAAGTAGAAGATGGCAGCTGATGCTTCTGTATCCGTGAGGAAATGACTTATAGTCAACAACTCCAAAGTTTCGAGATTGACCGATATATCAGCCGGACCAATCAATCGCCCGACATGTGAGATGAGCATTAGGAGGCCAGTCTGAGACCATGGACACTGGTCTATATATCAGTCATATAAATCAGTCATATAAATAGATAGAGTCTCTTCAGAATTCATATTGATTAGTTTTATGATCTCTTTATGAACGTTTTGAAGCGTCAGTTGCGTAGCTGTCGATGGAGGAACAGAAAGCTCTCAGATCTC